CAGTCCGGTTGCATATTACCAGCAAGCAGAGTACGAGGTGAGAACAAGAAGAAGAGGACGGTAGACAAAGGCCAACGCTACCTGGGGGGAGGGAGGGGGAGGGGCGAGGGGGCGCCATGTATGAGGCCAGTGCCAACCCTTCCCTTCGGCCCACGGGTACAATGTCGTGTGTTTCCCTTACGTGGGAACATAATGCACTATACTCTTTCACAACGTACTTTGTTTTTTTTTTTTCTCCTTTTAAAAAAGGGCGACAGCCTTGAGATATCATCATGGAACTGGGCAGGTAATTCAGAAATTATTTTGTCGTTCGTCATGTGGATTTGAATTTGGGTCTGTATTTCAACAGTTCATTGGTGTACCAACTGAGCTCGGCTTCATTGTGTTTCCCTTGCGTGGAACTATAATGCGTTGTAGTATGATTATACTCCTACACAGCGTACTTTGTTCTCTTTCAGCGGTGGCTGTTTTGCTGTGTTGCAAGTCCTTTGCGTATTGTATACGTGCTGTCATGAATGCGCTGTACCTCGATCGGGTCATCACATGGCCATTGTTTGTGCCTTCCATCACTGGGCCACGCACGCATGTTAAAAATCTATGCATGGTCATTCCTGGGCCGCGCATGCTAAAAATAGTCGTAATGAAACAATCTCCTTCAAAAAAAATTATGGTGTGTTTTCTTGCCTCAGCGAACCGTCGGTACTCTTTTACGTCGAGGATCGCTTGTGTGCCCCTGTGCCTCAGCAGGGCAATGTGTCACCACGGTCTGCGACCTTCTCCTGTACACAGCAACAGAAACCAACGATACCAACTGCTCCACCCTGCCGTAGGAATCATTGTCTATGCCAGAATCACAACGAGCTCCTGATTTCTGTGCACTTGCGGTGATGTTCTTCTGTGATGTTTGTTGTTCGTTTGGCCTGACCTGCAACCGACATGCCATATGTTGGGAGTGTTAAGTGGCCATCGGTTGATGCCAGCCATCGCGGCGGCTGTTGGGCTGAGAATTCGCAGCTAGATCTTCCACGACATCACCCATCTCACCTCTACAGTGTGTGTTCACTCTGCTGGTGGAGGGCAGACTGACTTATGAGCCTTAATTCACCCTTTCCTATGCTGCCGTCTTCTTTTCATCCGTCCTCCTTCTCCCTGCCTCTCCTTGCCTCGTCTCCCGGTGCTCTCTTTCTCTCTCTCTCTTATGTGTGTGAAAGACGACAAACGTGGTCCCCACATGCTCCTTCCATGCTGGTATGGCGGATGGGGGCGTTCGCACAGCACACCAGCGTGGTAAGCATTGCACCTGAGGGTTAAGGAACCGAGAGGGAAAGGTGGTCCCCACATGTTCCTTCCAGTAGCAAAGGGAGAGTTGAGGAACTGAAAGAGAAATGGCGAGAACACTCAGAAAAGACAAAAGATTAAAAAAAAAAAAAGAAAGAATTAGCATGGCACCTGCTCAATAATGATATGCACAGATCACGAAACCGTTCAAACGAATAAGAGGTACACCGTACATCCATGGACTGTTGAAATACAGACCACAGTTCGAACCCAGACAGAACCAGAGAACCAGATGCATTAATTTGAATAATTTCTGAATAACCTGGGGCCAATCAGTTCGACGACAACATCTGAAGGCAATCACCCTTTCCAGAGCAAAGAAGAGGATGGGGGGGGGGGG